TCCACAGATAATCTTGGGACAGTCACTGGCAGCCAAGCAACTCCCTGTTCTGTAGGTGAACTCCACAATCATATCCGTAAGGCCCATTACAAGTCCAACCAGAATGCTCCCTGTTCACTCTTTCACAAAAGATGGCAAGCAGAAAAACAGCGGCAATTGGAGGCCCAAGATAACTAGCAATTGATTGTGCTTAATAATCAGTCATCGGTTTTGAGATACTTGAACCAATGGGACCTATCTGATGACAAATAGCCTGGTAAGAAAACCAAGTAAATATTAAACAAAAGCATTTAAGCAACCCTGTTGCATTCATTATTGAATTGATTCTTGCTGTCACTTGTTGGTTTTCCAACTCAAATCAAGCTCTTTGACATTACATGAACCCATGCCATGATTAATGATTATGTTAGCAAAATGCCAGTCCCTTCTTTCTCCCTGTTACTCATGACTATGTCAAATTGTTGGCTTCCCTTTGAGGTGCTTCATATCACCCCTTTGCTTTATATTCCTTCATTCTTTCATTTCTTTTTTTCCATGATAAATTTTGTTCATCATTAAAAATCTGACTCTCATGTAACTTACCTGCGAAGCCTTCCTAGAGTCCCATAAACAGAATTCATAACTCACGGCTTTGTGCTCTTATCACACTTGTGCTAAGCTAATTGCAGTAGACTGTATGCTGAAATAATTAAAGGAATGTTTGCTGAAGTCAGATTGCCTGGGCTCTAACCCTGGTTTTGTCTTTTCCTATCTTTGTAACATTTGAGAAGCTATTTAACTTCTCCATGCCTCAGTTTCCTCATATGTAAAATGCAGATAATAGATATATCTACTATATAGTATAGTTATGAAGTGTAAATGAGTTAATAAATATGTGTGATTCCATTAATGTGTGGTACATAGAAAGCCCTATACAAGTTTTTGCTATTATTAGTATCACATTTTATTGTGGGTTATTATGCCTGGTTCTTCCATTGACTGGTGAACTCCTACATCTCAAAGATCACGGCTAAAATGCCTTTGTAAAATTAACAATAACAATTATGCTTGACACAACACAGGTAGCTAGTAAACGGACTTCAACAAGATGGCTTCTTTCATAAATGGTTTGAACACACTGGGTGGGTCTTTGAAATTGAAATCGAGGAAAATTTATCTTCTCCCCTGCCTTCCTGGCACCCCCTTCCCTGTAATGTGAGCAGAGACTACTTTTTCTTAGGCAATTGTCTCATTTTTTTAATTTCTAGAATAATTTGCATTTGTAAGGATATTTTTAGAGTCTGCAGACACATTAATTTGTAAAGGCAGAATTCAGACGTGCACCTGTAAGGAGGGCTTTGAACCACCCAGTTTTCTCCTCTCCTGTAACCTAATGTATTAGGAAGAACTGAGATTAGTATCAACGATGGAGTGACCATGAGTAAGCTTCTAGGCTGCACTTCCTGATTTGCACTGTCTGTTCTCAGGTCTTCCTCTCAGGAGTGTCATGAGGCCGTCTCTTCCACTCACCAAGCATCAGTTAATGCGGATGTACTGCATGAATGAACTAAATAATTAGGCCTTATTATCCTTTCTGTTGTGGAAGAAAACTTTAAATATTTATCAGATTAAAAAGTTTGACCTTTTTGAAAATTTTCAGGCTAGAATTAGATTGGAATGTTTGTGGTCAACACTTGTGAATTTAAATACTTAAATATTTACATATTTAAAATACACAACTTGGTGTTATCTATCTTGCTACACACATATGTATATATATAAATGTATGTACATATATACAATATGAAAACATCACCACTTACATATGTGTGTATATTATATGTATGTATGTATGTAATATATGTAAAATTATCACCACCAAGCTAAGGAACATATCCGTTATCCACAGATGTTTTCTTCCTGCCCCTTTGTAATGCCCCACTTCTGTCCTCACACAAAGAATCATCTGCTTTCTGTCAATATAGATTAATTTGCATTTGCTAGAATTTTACAGAGATGAAATTATATAGACATACTTTTTTCTGGGGGATGGGGTGCAGGTTTGGCTCCTTCTGCTAAGCATAATTATTTTGAGGTTCATCCATGTTGCCTTGTGTATCAATTGTTCAATGTTTTTACTACTGAGTGGTATGGATTTGGATGAATAAACCACAAAGCATTTTCAATTAAGGAACACTTGTATCATTTCCAGTATTGGACTATGACAAATAAAGCTACTGTGAATGTTAATGTACAAGTCTTTGTATAAGCATATGTTTAATTTCTCCTGAATAACTACTCAGTGTGGAAAGGATGAATAATATAGTGGATATATGTTTAATTTTTCAGTAACTGGAAGATTGTTTGTTTAAGTGGCTGTATCATTTTAGATTCATACTACCAGATTGTGATAGTTCCAGTCAGTGCACAGCCTCAGCTTATACTTTTAATGTCAGTCATTCTAATTAATAGGTGTACTGTGGTATGTTTCCATATGTTTATTTGCCATCATTGTAACAATGGTGATGAATTCAAATATTTGTTCATTTTATGGGTTGTTTTCTTATTACTGAGTTTTGAGAATTTTTACATATTCTGAATACAAAACTTTAGTTGATACCTGATCTGCAAGTATGTTCTGAGATTTATCTTTTTAATCTCTTAACAATGTCTTAGGAGGAGCAAAAATTTTTAATTTTGATAGAACCTACAGTGTCAATTGGATTTTTTAATAAATCATGCTTTTTGAAATCCTTTCTTAAAATGTTTCTGTCTATTTGTTCTATCAGTGACTGAGAGAGTGGCATAGGTATCTCCAAAAATACTTGTGGATTTGACTACTTTTGCTTGCAAGTCTGTCAAATTTAGAAGTCATATGGAATTTTGATTGCCTTAGAATATCTGAAGCTATCTTGACAAAGAACAAAAGTATATGATATAAGCTAAAATGTTTTGAGAAATACTATGACACGGATTAGTATTGGGGAAACCATCCCCACACCACCCGGTGGGTACCCTGAGTCCAGTGGAGACAGAGGAATTAGAAAGAGACAGAATAAGAATTTAAAAGGCGGATCCAGGGACCGGAGCATCCGAGGCTTGCTCAGGGCCCTGAGCTCTGGGCCTCCACCCAATTCATTGGCTAGAATGTGAACAGAGAGCCCTTGCACACTGGTGGTGGGAATACAAATTCACACAGCTATTATTTAAAACAGTATGGTTTCTTCAAAAGTTAAAAAATAGAACTACCACGTGATCCAGCAATCTCACTGCTGGTTATATATCCAAAGGTAACGAAATCAGTATGTTGATGAGATATCTGCACTCCCATGTTTATTGTAGCATTACTCAAAATAGCCAAGTTATGTAATCAACGTAAGTGTCCATCAACACATGAATGGATAAAGAAAATGAGGTGTATATTCATAATGGAATTCTATTCAGACTTAAAAAAACAAATCTTGTCATCTGCTACAACATGGATGAATCTGGAGGATATTTTGTTAAATGAAATAAGTCAGGCACAGAAAAACCAACAGTGCATGATCTCACTTATGTGTGGAATCTAAAAAGTAGAACTGAACAAAGCAGCGAGTAAAATGGTGGTTACCAGGGTTTGGGGGAAGGGATGGCAACTGGGGAGATGTTGGTCAAAAGATACAAAATTTCAGTTAGACAGGAAGAATAAGTTCAGTAGACTTATTATACAACAAGGCAAGTATATCTAATAACAATATATTGTATATTTGAAAATTGCTAAAAAAGTAGATTTTACATGTTCTCACCACAAAAAAATAATAAATTTATGAGGCAATGCATATGTTAAATAGCTTGATTTAGTCATTCCACGATGTACGCATATATCAAAGCATCAGTGCTGTATACCACAAATAATATAATTGTTTGTTTCAATTAAACAAGTAAATAAACAAAAGAATATAGATGCTATTTAATAATGTTTCAATGATTCATTAATTGTAACTAATGTAGCATATTAATATATGATGTTAGTAATAGGAAAAATTATATAGGACAAGGGAACTCTACTGTCATCAAAAGTTTGTGATAAATTTAAAACTGTCCTAAAAATAATGTTAATTTTAAAATATGAAAAAAGTTTCATGGTGGATATTTAAAGTGGAATTCTGTTAATGCAAGTTGAATTTGAGCTTGCACAGAACTAACAGATGTGTAAGAGACTGAAGTGAGAGGTAGGCAGGTGATCTGACATGGGATGTCTGAGGTGTCTGGTACTATTTTCAATCAATATTATTTGAGTGTCTACTCTATGTCTTATTAGAGCTTAAGCCAACTCAACAGAGAAAGATTAAAAGAATAAGCATTTAAGTATCATATTATTATCATAAGTCATATGTGCTGAGAAGAAAAGGAGACAGTATCTGAGAGCAAGAAGAGAGGGATAGTGTACAAAGTAATTTAGTTGGAGTTTCGAAGAGGAGTTCTCTGAAGAAATAATATTTAAGTTTTCCTAGCCTTTACAAGTATATTTGTGTAGGTCTGATTCTGGCATACTTTATGTTGTGTTGATTACCCTGAGGTACATGGGCAATACCATTCCAATAGTTTGGTTTAGCTTAGAGATAGCAGCTGTAAGTAGAAGAAATACATTCACGCTAGCATTTGTGTTGGCTCAAAACAATAGAATCCATGACTGATGGAGACCCTGACCAGCTCTATTTGATATGATTAGTGTAATGTGTTTTTAGATTTTCCAGGGAACAGCCCTTTAGAACTGAAGCTTAGTATTTTATCACCAGAAGAGAGTATTTTTATTATGTTGAGGACTATGTTTTAATCAATTACATGAAAGAAAAGGGGAAAGGGAATGGAATTGGCATTAGTGGGTTATGCCACTAATTCACTATGTCACCTTATTATTTCTTCTAAGAAAATATGTCTTCATAATCCTTATAAGAGAAAAAATGAGACGGAATTGGCGTAAAATAGACCATGTGCATAAGAAATAATGTCCGTAAAATCCCCCCAAATTAGAAAGAATGTTGACAGATGCGCTAAAGTGAAAGACATCATTTCATACAATATAATAGTCAAAAACTTAGATCTAATGCAATCATTTTCATAGTACTTCTGTTCATAAGAATGTTCTTTTCCCTAGCATTTTCCTCAGGGCGACGTGGACATCTTTATTCCTCAGGCTGTAGATCAGGGGGTTCAGCATGGGCACAACAATAGTGTAAAACACAGAGGACACTTTCCCCTGGTCCATGGAGCTGACAGATGATGGTTGCAGGTACATGAATGCTGCAGATCCAAAGAAGATAGCAACAGCCGAGATGTGGGAGCTGCAAGTGCTGAAGGCTTTGGACCTGCCCTCCGTGGAGCGAATGCGGAGGATGCTGGCAATGATAAAGAAGTAAGAGCTGAGGATGGTCAGGCTGGGGACAAGGATGTTAATTCCACTGAAGATTAAAACCAGTAACTCATTAACATAAGTACTAGAACAGGAGAGCTTCAAGATGGAAATAAGATCACAGAAATAATGGTTGATCACATCAAATTTGCAGAATTGAACCCTAAAAATACAGCCTATATGAGCTGACGCACAAATCAGGCCTATTATATACACTCCTAAAATCAGAGAAAAGCTAGCCTTATTGGATATGATGACACTGTACAGCAAGGGGCTACAGATGGCCACATAGCGGTCATATGCCATTGCAGCCAACATGTGGCACTCTGCAATAGCAAAAATGAGGAAGAAGTAGAGCTGAGTCATGCATTCAGGGTAGGAGATGATGTTCTTCTCTGTCACAAAGTTCAGCAGCATCTTAGGGGTAATGACCGTGGAATGGCAGAAGTCAATGAAGGACAGACTGCTGAGGAAATAGTACATAGGGGTGTGCAGGTAAGGACTGAGCCCAATCAGTGTGATCATGCCCAGGTTCCCCAGCATTGTGACTACATAGATTCCCAGGAAGATGAGGAAGAGGGGCAGCTGGAGCTCTGACTTCTCTGTTAGCCCAACCAGAATAAACTTAGTCACTAAAGAATGGTTTTCTGCTGCCATTCTTTGATCAGTTTCTGCAAGGGAGAGAAAAAACATGGTATTTGGGTGAATTGTATTGTTATTCTCCTTTTGTAGGAAAGGGACCCCTTGTTTATATATGATCATTTAACTCTGGTTCAATTAACTGAAGCATAATTTATCCCAATTTAGCATGTATTAATCTTTATTTTCTAGTAACTGGTATTTGATATTATAATATTTTACCTATGTTTATAATAATTAAAAACTTTGAGTGTCTATTTTCTGTTTTGAATATTTCAATGGTCTCCAATATTTTTAAGCTAATACTTGCAAACTTAAATTCTTAGAGAAGCCAACGTAAACAAGTAAAAATGACTGAGTGACAACTTGGGGAGAACAATCCCTGTCTACAGACAGTAACCTCTAATAACCTGAAACTAATTCCTGTCAGGGATGAACAGAAGTCTTATTATTATCAGACTTCAATGTTTTATGTAATTATCAAGAAATCTAGATTTGTACATCAAACATTCATATTTTCAGATACTATTAAAATGAAATAACATTTATAATTATCATTGTGAATATCTATCAGCTGTAGTGGTGACAATTCTATGATTTGTCATCTCTGAGCTACAGTGAAGTATCTCTGACATCCCTTGAGGGAAATAGAATGAGCAGTTGTTGAATGGACAGGCTCTAAAGTCAAAGTGCTTGTGTTCAAATTCTGACCCCATCATTTACTAATCAATACCCCGAGCCTGTCAAATAGCCTCTTTGTGTCATGACTTTCAAACCTGTAAAAGAGAACATTATTACCTATCTAAATAACATTTGCAGACTCATAAATCAGTAAGTGAAGAAGGTCAATCTTATGTTGTTAATGTCTATCAAGAGGGTAACAATGGGAAGATAGTAAGAAATTACTGATTTCAATGTACAGAAACAACAATCTTATTACCTCAGTATTTCCTTTCATTTTCTTCAACTTTTGTGAATTAGAAGAGAGTAAAAAGTAGAGACACACAATTAAAAAACAGAATTACAAGTGTGATCCCCTTTCTGTTAAACAGTGAATAAATGATATGGCTATTGCATTCATTAAAGTTACATTTCAAATGAATGAGTCAAATTATTTAAAAAAATACAAAGTTTAGAAAATCTATACATTTCTTAACACATTTCTACACCAAAATAATTCTGAAATCAATCAGATCTGAACGTAAAAACTAACTATAAAACACCTGGAAAAACAACTGGTAAAATCCTTGATATCTTGGAAAAGTTTATGGTTTCTTAGAAAGAAATCTTAAAAGCGAAAGAACTAAAAACTAACAATGGTTTGATTATATTTCATCAAAATTAATGACATTAAGAAAACGAAATGGCAAGCTCAAGGTAACACATATGCTGACAAAGGACTTTTATCTAAAATATCTAAATAACATATGCAAATAATAGTACAAAGACAACCAAATATTAACAACTGGTGAAATACCAGAAGAGCTATCTCACAGAAAAGATATATGACTGGTCAGTAAATTTGTGAAAATATATCCAATGTTTTTAGTAATCAAGGAAATGAAAATTAACACCATAATGAGACAACACTATAGACCATGATAGATTAGAAAAAACAGAACAAAAAAACATCTGAAGATTTCAGGTGTTGGTGAGGAGCATCTCTACTTGTCATACAAAGCTGGCGGGGAGTGTGAAATTGTTCAACTGTTTTGGAAAAGAGTTTGCCAATTTCTTATAAACTTAAACAGACTTTAACTAAATAAATCCAGCAATTCTGCCTCTTAGTATTTACCCAAGAAAAATGTAAACGTTTGTCTACACAAAGACACGTACAAAATGTACATGGCAGCCTTATTCAAAACAACCAAAAATTAGAAAGATTTTTTTCTCTCCCTTGCAGAAACTGATCAAAGAATGGCAGCAGAAAACCATTCTTTAGTGACTAAGTTTATTCTGGTTGGGCTAACAGAGAAGTCAGAGCTCCCGTTGCCCCTCTTTGTCGTCTTCCTGGGAATCTATGTGGTCACAAAGCTGGGGAACCTGGGCATGATCACACTGATTGGGCTCAGTCCTTACCTGCCCCCCTATGTACTATTTCCTCAGCAGATCTACTCAACAGATGAGTAGATGCATGAGTTGTGGTGTGTGTATGTGTATGTACATATACATTAAATTGAATACTATTGAGAATTTAAAAAGTAAATATAAATTACAAATACGTTTATTAACATGAATCTCAAAAACATTATATTTCTTTGCAACAAATATTCGACCAGAAATCCCGAATGTATAGAAGTATTCATCCGCGTAGCTCTCTAGATCTACAGGTATTTTGTGTGTAAGAAAGTTCAGTAATGGAATGAATTATTTAATAGATATCATATATTCAGGTTGTATCTTTCTTTTTAGTTTTTTTAATTGAATTTTCAATTCAGTTGCTTACTTTACAAATTATGAAATATTTTACATTATGTTTTTCATAATTTCTTTAACATTTAAAAAATATTTGAAGGTTATGCAAAATTTTTTGCTTCTTCATTCCTGAATCCAATAAATTAAGGTTATCTTTTTGTCTTGATCATTTATGCTAGAAGTTTGTCAATTTTATTAATCAATTTTAATAAGTTAACTATTTACTATGTTGATTTTATGTTAATATTTATTTTTATTTAAATTATTTCTAATAATTTATTTTATTTTTACTCATTTCATTAGCATGATTTCCTGTCCTTTTCCTAGATTTTTGAACTGAACCTTAATCAACATCTTCTATTTATGGTCTTTTCTAATATGTGCATATAAGGTATAAATTTCCCTGTCAGCCCTACTTTAGCTACTGGTCACAAGTTTTGATATATCAAACTTACAATATTATACAGTTTAAGACACTTTATAATTTCTTTTTTATATTTGTGTTGTTCCATGGATTATAGAGAAGTGAACTGTTAACTTTACGGAAGTTGGGCTTTTAAAAATGTCTGTCTTAACTTCATAGGAGCTAATGAACATACTCTGAATCATTGAAGTTATTTCAAATTGTTGAGATTTTCTTTATAATACAACATATTGTCAGTTTTTATAAATATTCCAAACACATCTTAAAAGAATACATTGCCCGATTTTGTGGTCCCTTAATACATACATTTCAATGATGTTCAATTCACTAATTATGTTGTTGAAATATTTCATATGCATAGTGATATTTTTGTCTGATGTTCTAACAGTTAGTAGCTAAGTATGTCCATGTCTCCCACTCAAATTTCTGATTTTTAAATTTCTTCCTTTAGTTGTTGAATCTTTAACAAAATCTTTATTGTTATGGAATACAGAAAGTTATATTTAATCATTTGTCTTGCTTAAATCTTCCTTTGTCTCATGTCAGCATTTTTAGCATTGTCAGGCTATCACAATACTTTTTAAGTTAATGTTTGCACAGCATACTATTTTTTACTCCCTTACATTAGATTTTCTGTTTCTTTATATTAAAATTTGTTTTTAAAAGAAGCACAAAATAATATCATATGAAATAGCAATAACTTAGCACCAAATACCTCAAAATATAAAACAAAACTTATACAATGGCTATAGATTAAAACTTTTAAGTAATCTTAAGATAAGTTAGACAAACTTAAGTCTCAACCAATGGATGGATGGATAAAGAAAATGTGGTATACGTATACAATGGAATACTATCAAGCCATAAAGCAAATGAAATCCTGTAATTTGATGGTTAAGTGAAATAAACCAGGCACAGAAAGACAAATATTTTATGTTCTCACTCATATGTGGAAGCTGGAAAAGCTGATCTCATGGAGATAAAGAGTAGAATGATAGTCACTAGTGGCTGGAAAGACTGGCTGGGTGTGGAATTATGAAGAGAAGTGGATTAATGGGTACATGACATACAGTTAGATAGAAAGATAGTTCCTAATGTTCAATAACATAGTAGGGTGATTATAGTTAACAACAATATATCGTGTATTTTTAAATAAGTAGAAGGTTTAAAATGTTCCCAACACAAAGAAATGATAAACGTTTGAGGCAATGGGTATCCTAAATACCCTGATTTGATCATTACACGTTGTATGCATCTATCAAAATGCCACAGGTACCTCATAAATATGTACAATTATGTATCAATTAATTTTTTAAAAACCTTAATAAGAGAAGAGATTTACCATATCTGTGGATAATAAGATTCATTATTATAAAGATATTAAGTCTCTTAAACTTATGTATAGATTTAAAATAATTCAATTCCTGGATATAACATCTAAACAGATGATCGATATGTTTAAAAAATACATCAATATATAATTTTTTTTTAACTTTTATTTTAAATTCAGAGGTACATGTTTAGGTTTGTTATATCGGTAAACTTGTGTCATGTGGGTTTGTTGTACAAATTATTTACTCACTCAGGTATTAAGCATTGTACCCATTAGTTAGTTTTTTCTAATCCTCTCCCCCCTCCCACCCTCTGCCCTCCAAAAGGCCCCAGTACGTGTTGTTAACCTCTATGTGTCCATGCGTTCTCATTGTTTAGATTCTACTTGTAAATGAGAACATGCAGTATTTGGTTTTCTGTTCCTGTGTTAGTTTGCTAAGGATAATTGTCTCCAGCTTCATCCATGTCCCTGCAAAGGATATGATTTTGTTCTTTTTATGGTTGCATTGTATTCCGTGGAGTAAAAATGCCTATCAATAATAGACTGGATAAATATATCATTCCTATGCCTTTGTATCCTCATAGCTTAGCTCCCACTTATAAATGAGAACACATGACATTTGGGTTTCCTTTCCTGAATTACTTCACTTAGAATAATGACCTCCAGCTTCATCCAAGTGGCTGCAAAAGTCATTATTTTGCTCCTTTTTGTGGCTGAGTGGTATTCCATGGTGTGTATTGAAATTTTAAAAAATTATTTAAAAAGAAAAAAATACATTACTATGAGAAATATATCAACAAATTCCTGAAGAGAACATTTAGCTACTGCTTTTTATGTCTGAGGATTTATGGAAAATATCATCTTAGTGCAATATCAAAGGGGAGTCAAGATATTGATTCTCAAAAGTTTACAATTATTGTACTCAAACTCAAGATGGACGTTATAGCCTTCATTCTCTATATCCCTTTCTCAAC